TCCCGCTCTGTTATGAGTATTGAAGAATAGGAGGAAAGTGCATACTGCATCAGGAACCATTATGTGAACACTGTTCAATGTGTGATATATGCATATAAATAAAAGAAATTGATAATTTGTTTGTTGTTTGTTTCTTTAGCCAGCTGTGTAAATGGGGATTTTCCAATATTTTGCCTCGGTTTGATAGCCTTTTGATATTTTGGGATTTTTCTAATTTTTATTTTTTAAAATTTTTATGGAATGAAGTTGGACATAGACTCAATTGAGGATGGGGTTCGTTTCCGGGGCAGAATTCGAAAACTATTCAGTGTATTTGATCGAAACTTGCCAAAGGTATCAGGCACATACTGAAGTGGTGCCTTTTGATATTTTGGGATTTTTCTAATTTTTATTTTTTATTTTTTTTATGGAATGAAGTTGGACATAGACTCAATTGGGGATGGGGTTCGTTTCCGGGGCAGAATTCGAAAACCATTCAGTGTATTTGATCGAAACTTGGCAAAGCTATCAGGCACATACTGAAGTGGTGCCTTTCAAATTTTGGGATTTTTCTAATTTTTATTTTTTAATTTTTTTATGGAATGAAGTTGGACATAGACTCAATTGGGGATGACGTTCATTTCTGGGGCAGAATTTGAAAAAAAACATTCAATGTATTTGATCGAAACTTGGCATTTATATGGATGCGACCATGGTGGATCTTTTGTGGGTAAACAATGTATGCTTCTTAAAGAACATTCAACTGTTGACTCATTACATACAGAATTGCACATTTACTAGTGGTTACTTTACAGACAGCTGCCGGGGGGGATATGTCATCTTTCTGATGACTCTTGTTCTCTAATGTGCCTTTTCCTGCAGAAGTCTAAATAACTCTTATACATATAGTTGTATATCATTGTCATATGTTTGTCAATATTACACTGAATGAAGCACTTTACAATTGTTTTTGAAATAGTCGCAACTGATATTGAAGGTCAAATTAGCTTTCAATGTCTTTCAGTAAAAATGTTCACAGTAACTGTAGTGTGATGAAATCTGGTACATGTCACCCTCAGAGTGAGGCATATTGTGTTTCAAACTTAAATGAAGCTGGTATGCTCATAACAAGTACTTGTACCTTTACAAATAATCATATTATCATCTCACTAGGACCAAAGGCCCAAGTGAGCACACAGTCGATGAGTTTATACTTTCACTCAGAATAATCTGGAAGTCTGAACATGAAATTTAAGGATATCATCATACATGTATTAGAACTGATGTTTGTTCATTAAACAGCTTAACATCTAAAAAGAATTATAGATGAAATTGAAAAAAAATGTCTTCTCCAAAAGTACATGCCCATAGATCTCAACTTTAAGGGGATATTTACAACTAAAATGACACAGAATATTACTACAGCTATCTGATATGCCCAGGCTAACATTATTTACCAGAAATAAGACATCTCGAAAACTTGCATCCGGATACCTGCCGGATACCTGCCGGATACCTTCAGCAATGTTCAATTTTCATGGTTAGTTTCCAATATATATTTAGGTGTTTCACACTTAATTGAACAAAATGCACCCCCAAATTGTGACATGTTTTTGGAAACTCAGAATGAGGTATCCGGTGCCGGATCCTTGGACACCCAGATTGAGGTATCCGGTGCGGTATCCGGTGCCGGATACCCGGATTCCAGGTGGCATACTTTCAGGTGAGGTGTCCATGCCGGATACCACGGATCTGGTATCCGGCAAGGTATCTGCCACCGGATACCCGGACGCGTTTTGGGTAAGTGTCCGGTGGTATCCGGCAGGTATCCGGATACCGGAAACTGCAATTTTTTTGCTGTGACAATAATGTTTGTTGTTACATGTATAATGAGGCTGTAATGACAGTGGGCTTCAATTTTGTTGCCTTTATAAATACCGGACTGCTATTCACCTTGAACCATTTCCTTGATATAATTGGTAAATGAGCCCTTTTTCAACGTTAGAAATGAAGCAAATCGTGTCCCATTAATATAACTTCTTTTTTTCAAATACAATGTATGTTAAAGTTGGTCGTAAATACATAACGTTCTATATAAACACCCCTTTTGAACGGGTGTGGGTGGGGATTGGGGGTGTTTGTTGTAAGAGGTTGGGGATGTAGAAGGTGGGAGTAATGTTGGGGTTTGAGGGTTATGTAGGGTGTGTGTGTGTGTGTGTGTGTGTGTGTGTGTGTGTGTGTGTGTGGAGGGGGCTGATATAGGGGTGATGCAGGGGTGATGAAAGAGCCGGGGGGGGGGGGGGGGGGGGGGTTCATGAAGGAGGTGGGGGTCATGTAGAATGTGGGGGTGGGGTGATGCAGGGGTGATGTAGGATGTGGGGTGTGGGGGAATGTTTTGTTTGTTTGTTTGTTGTTTAACGCCGCACTCAATATTCCAGCTATATGGCGGCGGTCTGTAAATAATCGAGTCTGGACCAGACAATCCAGTGATTGACATCACGAGCATCGATCCACGCAATTGGGATACGATGACATGCATCAACCAAGTCAGCGAGCCTGACCACCCGATCCCGTTAGTCGCCTCCTACGACAAGCATAGTCGCCTTTTACGGCAAGCATGGGTTGTTGAAGACCTATTCTACCCCGGATCTTCACGGGTAGTGTGGGGGATGTAGGATATGGGGGGATGTCGGAGGGATATAGGAGGTAGGGGTGATGTGGGGGTGGGTGATGTGGCGGGTGGAGTTGAAACGTTTAAACCTAAGCATCACTTTCCTCCAACATTAAAGTGCCACGCCAGAATAAAACAGAAATACCGACAGTTCACATTGATGACAATCTCACTCACTCACTTAATCATGTTACAGTAGATGGCAGAACAATATTCTCGATAGACATGGGTCTGACATGAAAGTTTTTGCTTTTGAGGAGCTAGTTACATCTTCAAATATTTGGCAAACGGGAAAATATTTAGGTCCGATGACTTGTCATTGAGAAATAATTGATTAAACTGGCGATGTCTTATGTTTTTGAGTGACTTCTCCCCTGAGGCTCAGAGAGTAACTACAATCCTGCTAATGCGATGTAAAACAAACCAATCCATAAATATAATTATAATTAAGTAAGTTTAAAAAAATACTGACTCCAAAACTATCGCCTGGCGGCTCCAGGAAATACTCTTAACTCGTCCTCATGTTTCGTATGTTCACTTCAGTTTCTCCATACGTGGTGCCAGTAGCTGAATATTTCAACCAAGATATTTGTAATATTAATTTTCTAACATTGCTACATGCCATTTTTTAAACAAATCTATCACTGGAGCCGCATTTCGTTTGTCTGTTTCGACCCTGTTGTATTTAGGAGATAACATACTGAGTTTACAAAATAGAGGTACGTTGCCTGTAGATTTCAAGACGCTAAACCGAATAAAGAACCGAACGCACAGCTTGAGATTTCAAATATTGAAACATATTTTTATTATGTTTATCTCCACTCTACCGAGACATTATTGTGATATTGAAGATAATGAATGCATTCGTATGGTTTAAGTCTCGATGGCCCCGTCGTCTAACATGCACACAGGGTGCACAGGTGGCCCAGTCGTCTAAGGCGCCGCAATTCGCTTTAAAGAGTTGCGTCCCTTGGGCACACCGAATACCTATGATCGTGGGTTCGAATCCCGGTTCACCACGATTATGTTTCTAGGTTTGTCCGCATCATACCCGTGCTTATGGGTTTTCACCAAAGTTGTAAACGTCTGAGACCTGCATTACTTCGGGATTTCCTCCCTCATTAATCTGACACGCCGATATATAACCGGAATACTGTTCAAAGTGGCGTAAAACCCAACTGAATCACTCGACAATGTCGTATGGTTTTTGTCTTTTTAAGGCCGCACCCAGAAATATTCCAGCTATATGACGGCGGTCTGTAAATAATCGAGTCTGGACCAGACAATCCAGTGATTGAACTCACGAGCATCGATCCACGCAATTGGAATACGATGACTTGCATCAAACCAAGTCAGCGAGTCTGACCACCCGATCCCGTTAGTCGCCTCTTACGACAAGCATAGTCGCCTCTTACAACAAGCATGGGTTGCTGACGACCTCTTCTAGCCCGGATCGTGACGTGTGTGTTATTTGGGTAACTATATAAGTATTAAGGCTTTCATACCTGCCTGAATGCAGGCGGACTTAAATATGAGAAAAATACTTTCAATTTATTAAATTCTACTAAAAAAAACTCGTCCATTGCACAATGAATACGTCTATCCACTTAGTATTTAACATATGCAAACACGTCACGATAGCGTGAGGGGCCTATCAAACGGTAGCGAAGTCATTCGGTGTGTGTAAACAAACATATAGATGTTCGATGGGCAAGAACTCCAAGAGCTCATGGAATTGAATTTATTTAGATATTATAAAATTGAGATAGCCAGTTTTGTCCTTGGGCCAGTATATTATGCAAATAAAAGTTAAACCCGACTTCCACAGATCCAGTTGTTCCACTGTTAACGCTTCGAATCACCTCCATGTATATTACCTTTAATATAATATCAACATGAAAAGGCCAGACCATCAAGTCGTTTTCACATTACACCCATGCGCCCACCCCTAATCAAATTCCTAATCACTAACAAAAGTGTTAAGAGGTACTCCTCACCCCAATACTATATATCAGCCGATCTCAAAGACTTCTACATTGAAATTCAACACCTTTGAAATTATTTGCTTTTCAAAATGATCGATACACATTGTTAACCGCTCGTTTCGGACAATCAGAGGTTGACAAAAGTAGATAGGCGAGCTCATTGACAACCCGCAACAACTTCCAATCGCGCCACTATGTCCATTGTACCTGTCCAGTCGGGGTATATGTATTACGAAGCCAGCGTTGCCCACCAAGAAATCTCTGCCTATTACCGCGTCACAGCTACCGCTAGCAAATAGCGCTATTGTGGAAACAGGGTGGAGTTGGTTCTCAATGGACTCAAGGCTACCACATACCAACCGTTGCCGTTTATCAAGTATCTCGCAAGAGACAGAGGAATCGGACATCTCGATATTGGCGCTGTTGTATTCTTCAAAGTCTTCCATGGATAAATCATTATGAAAAAACAAAGAAAAGGAGGTAGGTTTAGGCTATACATATACGTTTTATTTGAATGTTTTCTACATAGTTTAGTTAAATACATATGATTTTACACTAAATTATTCATTTGATTCCTTTTGTTTTCATAAACCTTTAATTTAATCATCATACAATCTTTACGTAAGATTAAACATGGAAAAAATATGAAACTGGCCCATAACGCTTTAAGAATGATTTTATGGTGATACTGTGAAAAGAGTGTTTTATATTATATTATATATAAACTAACGTTATCCTGATAACACAGCGTAACTATTTTATTAACTCACAGTATTTAGCTTACGAAAACGTTAAGAGAACGTACCAATAACACATATCCTAATGTGAATAAAATAATAGTTTACGGAAATATACAATAATGAGATTACTATCTGCATTTTTCGTCTTAAATGGCGTGTATAAGTTATATACAGGGCTGGGAAGGTATGATGAAAGTTGGTTTCAAGTCGCCTTTAGCTCTATTATCTGCCGAACGCTTTTATTGATAAAACTGCTATTGACAAACACACCTTGTATGCCTTGTAACAGTCCACCGAAGTGACATATATTCCGTCCCGTTATTTTTTTCAGTTATATTATGAAAATGACATGCATTATTAAAGTACGGGTGTGATATTATTTATGAGAATAGTATCCGTCCCATATACCACGAGGTATTGGCTTTCCGGTGAGAGAGAACTGGGGTGTTTGAGCCGGGTTGATTCACAATGCTAATCTCATGGCTTTTGTTCACTATTGCTATGTTACAATGTACATTAACGTGAAAATATTTCATTTGGGCCGACTGGTTTATATGTCTGGGCTATACGCTTGGAATACGTTAAACATAGCTGTGTTTGTGGAGTTATATTTGTTGAATGTGTGATGTTCTTTAATGGTCTCCCGCGTAAAAGGAGTAACTGTTAAGTAAATCCGGGTTTGATTTAGCGGCCTAGGGAAACCTTTAAGGCCTATGATGTCATAATACAGTGGATGGCTGGCGGATCTTGGTAGTCGAGCTGGCGTTTAATCTGGAGATAACATCATTAACATCTAGTGATTGAGTCTATCATCAATCTTAGATAAGGTGATAAAACAGATTATGTCTAACGAAGTGACTATCCTGTTCAATACACACTTGTAACATAAAACTCAACGTTTCACAAAGAATGTTAACATGCTCATAACACGAACCTTTTGTCTGAGAAAATTGACATAGTTACTAAAATACAGTTCAATTGTACATTGTATCCGCCGAAACAGATTCCATTGGATGTAAAAGACAAAATGAGTTGGGTTTTACGCAGCTTTTTGCAATAGTCCAGCAATATCACCGTGGGGGACACCCGAAATGGGCTTCACACTTTGTACCCGTGTCGGGAATCGGCGTGACGAGAAAACGCTTTAACCACTAGGCTACCCGACCGCCCCCATAATGAGGAGGAAATTGTATGAAAGGATCACTGAAATTAATGCGGACATCAGGTGTTCGCGAAACTGGTAAGCATGTCCTGATCTATCGGTCGCAATCTCACTCACACAAATATTCAAAACACCTGTAATTTCAAATAATAATATAAAAAAATACATCAAAGATTAGGGGCTATTAATATTCCTAACTCTGTCAGAAGAATATATCAAACGAGAACTCAAGCCTTAATGATTTAAGGTAAGTTGGTTTTATTCGATTTAAAAGAGACCCCGTGTTAAAGCGATGCATTTAGAGATTATACCACGGGTATCATGGCATAGTTTGGTATGAAAGCATATCTTTTTATAACATGTCTTGATAGCTCTCCATCACATACATTAAACAGCCATTTCCAACCCGAGTATCCTTTATCTTTCCTTGTAAAGGATGTGTAAGGGGTGTGTCTCTCTGATCAGCCCAGAGATCTAAAAGGGAGTGTATGCCTTGTAATTTGTATGTTGAAAGCTGAATAGGTTGTGATAATAAGCAACGCAGATGTTCTCTTGCTAACGGTGTGACGTGCAACCGTACATGTATTAAAATATATCATCACAACTACAAGATTTACACCCGTGCATGGTCTTCCTGTTGGTCTATAATGTATAATGTCGGTGCAGTAAACTACGGTTATAGCGAACTCAAAGTAACCACTAATTTTAGTTCGTTATAACCGTAGGGGCGGTCGGGTAGCCTAGTGGTTAAAGCGTTCGCTCGTCACGCCGAAAACCCGGGTTCGATTCCCGACATGGGTACAATGTGTGAAGCCCATTTCTGGTGTCCCCCGCCGTGATATATTACGATGGAATATTGCTAAAAGCGGCGTAAAACCAAACTCACTCACTCGTTATAACCGTCGTTCGTTAGAAGCATTTCGATATTCCTATGTTTATTCATCTCATAAATGATGTCATAAATAAATGACAAAATCAGGTCATCTCTCTGTTTATAATGTAGTTGTCATAATGTAGTTGTCCTGTTTGCTGATATTCAGATGTGCAATATTATACTTGTATGTAAATAACTGTACCCCTTAACACACTATGGTGAGGGCATGTATTCTAGTGGTTAAAGCGTTCGACCAAGTTCTGGTTCGATTCCCTACAACGGTAAAACAATGAGAATCACATTAATAACCCGGTCGTTATTAACCGCTTGGCAAAAGAAAGTCAATTGAAAATTGGATTTGGCCAAATATTACAAACTTTATCAATACGTTTCTTGGCTGAAAACAACCGCCGAAACACAGCAAACATAAGGTTCAAAACACAACTAGGATCCTCACATCAAATACATCACCATCGAAAAACCATTTCTTGTTTGTTTCAGTTTTAGCTTTCGTTCAGCTCACTCACTCACTCACTCACTCACTCCCTCGGTGGTGTAGCCTAGTGGTTAAGGCGTTCTCTTGTCACGCCGAACACCCGGGTTCGATTCCCCACATGGTTTCAATGTTACAATGTGTGAAGCCATTTCAGGAGCCCCCTGAAAAAGCGGCGTAAAACCTCACTCACTCACTCACTCACTCACTCACTCACTCACTCACTCACTCGCCAATTCTTTTCCCCTCATTTTTATCTCGCATCTGCCCACGAGTATCTATATAACATGGGGAGACGTGTTGCTAGACAGTCACGTCACAGCCAATTGAACATTTTGAAGATGGCAACACACGATCTTGTCAATGTCTGACATAAAACACAAAATTAATTCACCTACTCGTTGTAAGACAGATTCATATTTTCCCCAGTAAGTAGTTCGGGAATGTGATAGCTGTGCAAAAGTGATACTCTGGTCTCAAGCTTAAACAGCAGTATGACAACCAAACACCTGGTGTCACTCACCACTGAAGGAGCCGAAGGGCGTGTAAAGAGGCTATCGATTATAAGCCTTCTGTGAATCGTGACAGAAACACCATGTTCTCATGGTTGGTTAAATTGTCATAGCAAGTACTTGTGTGTAATATGTTCAAACGTATTCTTAAACTCGAGTCAGATATACTTTCATACAGCTTTGTGGATTTAGGATTCATATGTCTATTCATATTTATATATTCATGTGTTACGACTGCATTCTAGAGAGCCTAGTGATATACAACTCCAGAGGTCATTGAGCATGTGCTACTTAGATCGACAAAATATAACCTTGAGATTTTGGTGCTATCTCCCTATATTGCAGCAGCAGTAACATTTGATGGTGAATCAGAATCTACTTTTGGATAGACATTTTTATCTGGAATGTTTTATATTTTTTACGGAATAATTTCATTGTAAATAATGTATACTGACAACCACTGAAAACGCATCTTGATAATTTCAAGCATCCATCTCGACACACATCGAATGAGATTCGAACCCGTACGACTAGATTGTTGTGTTTGATTGTCTCATGCCTAAATACACAGAACATCATACTTTGATTTTGGTGGCCATTTTGCCATAAATACAAAAAATCAAATATGTGGTTTCAAAGTGTTTCAATATACTATTTGTCGTTAAACGTGTCATACGATAGGTGAAGGGGCACATGAGACTTGATGTATTTTAGGGAAACTTGGCAATATAACAACCGTTTGATATTTAACATAATGATTTAGTTACATTAGCTGTGATGACATGATGTCGTTTGGCTTGTGGTGTGGTGTGGTGTGGTGTGGTATGGTGTGGTGTGGTGTGGTGTGGTGTGGTGTGGTGTGGTGTGGTGTGGTGTGGTGTGGTGTGGTGTTTTGTGGTGTGGTGTGGTGTGGTGTGGTGTGGCGTGGGGTGATGTGGGGGTAGGGACGGATACGCTGGGTTAGAGTGGTGTGGTGTGGCTTGTGATGTGGTGTGGCTTGTGATGTGGTGTGGTGTGGTGTGGTGTGGTGTGGTGTGGTGTGGTGTTTTGTGGTGTTTTGTGGTGTGGTGTGGTGTGGTGTGGTGTGGTGTGATGTGGGGGTAGGGACGGATACGCTGGGTTAGAGTGGTGTGGTGTGGTGTGGTGTGGTGTGGTGTTGGTGTCGGTGGGGACGGATACGCTTGGGTAGTGTAGTGTGTTATGTTGTGAGTGACGTTTGGGAAGTATACGCTGGGGATGTGTGGTGTGGTGTGTTGAGGGTGACGATGGGGAAGTATATGCTGGGGCTATGAGGTGTGGTGTGGTGTGTTGTGTTGAGGGTGACGGTGGGGACGTATACGCTGGGGTTGTGTTGTGAGGTGTGTTGAGGGTGACGATGGGGAAGTATACGCTTTGGTTTGGTGGTGTGGTGTGTTGAGGGTGACGGTGGGGACGTATACGCTGGGGTTGTGAGGTGTGGGTGACGGTGGGTCAGTACACGCTGGGGTTGTGTGGTGTGGTGTGGTGTGGTGTGGTGTGGTGTGGTGTGTCGAGGGTGACGGTGGGGACGTATACGCTGGGGTTGTGAGGTGTGGGTGACGGTGGGTCAGTATACGCTGGGGTTGTGTGGTGTGGTGTGGGTGACGGTGGGGACCTTTACGCTGGCGTAGTATGGTGTGGTGTTTTGTCGGTGACGGTGGGGACGTATTCGCTGGGGTAG